TAGACGTCATCTGTTTTTATCCTCTCGTGTCTTTTTTAGCCACTTGTAACGTGCCCTCGAAGTTCGATCCGAACGAGACGCCACGACAATCTCTTCGTGGAATAATAATAATAATAATAATAAAAAGTGAGAAAATTGGGACCCGTAAACACGTACGTACGTTCGTCCTCGATCACGACCAGAAAGCAACTCCGATACATGGTCCAAAAATACGATAGACTGAGAGCAGCCTCACAATTTATTATGGGGGCTTTTTTTTCTGTGACATTCTGTCAGTAACGACATTTGTCGAACATCGTTGCAATTACCTCAATGTTTTCCAATGCATCTCTTAAAATGTGTTTGGCCCAGTGAGCGAGGCTGTCGTTTTCATGATTAGCTCTTGATGTGAGCGGCAGTGGAAATGAGACACTGCAAAAATTTAAGATACGACAGATGAGTAGAGAGAAATGCTTGCCGACATATGTAGTCAGAGAAAGAGCAGGAGGGCTATTCAGAAAGTATTCATTTTTCCAGTTTGGATGTGACAAATTGTTATTGTGTTAGAAATTCCCACATTTCTTAGGTTCTAAATTTTTTTCTTCATACCTATTGTTGTGTATGACTTTGTAAATAGTAAGGGTTGGCAGTAAGACTTAGAGGTGAAAACGTCTAATCAATGTTGCTCTGGTAGGAGTGTGTAAAGCCATACCGTCCTAATTGATATTTATTGTTTTGAGAGATCACTCTTTGCTTTATTTAATTTTTACGTGCATGTTCGCTCTTCTTTAATTAGAAGAGGGCCGACTCCAGATCAAAACTTTGGTATCGCCCTCTACTATGGCTAGACCACTTTATTTTTGGAGCTTTGGCTCTTTATAAATTGTATGTTCTTTACCTAATGGAAAGGCTTAGTTCTTTCCAATAATTAACTAATTTAAATTGGAGTCTGCCCTTGCGTCTAATTTCATAATTTCCCTTTATATGGGCTCTTTTATTACCTCTAAAAATTGCTGCTTAAACCGCTTGGAGGTACAAAATTTTAAGGTGGGAAGCGTTGTTCAATACTGAAATAGTGAGACAAAATATTAGGCACGTTCACCTGTTATTTTTCCCCATTATTCAACAGCTATTTTCTGTTTCATTTCCATAGAATTCCTGCATATCTGTTGCGACACTTCGTTCGATCTTTTGGGGGACTTTCAGCCAGGGCTCTCAGCCAATAATTTGAGAAAAACTTAGATGGCTGCTGAAAAACACCCAGATTCTGCAGATTTTATGGGGAAAAACCCAGACAACAAATTTCATCAAAAACTTTGTAATTTTACTTACTTCTAATGGAATTATAAATTTTCGGCTGCTGCTATATTTGGTATTTTGTGAGTCTCTGTCTTGGTTACCTCTTGGACGAGTGTAAAATCCCTATTTCTCTTACTACTCCGGGAAAAATGGAAGGTAATATTCTTTAAAAAAATTTCGAGATAGGATGGCAACATTTTCACAGCGTGACTTGCGCAAAGAGCAAAAGAATAGCATACGCAACCCATAACAAAACCTGATGGAATGTCTTTCTTCAATAGGGTTTGAAAGCCACTCCTGTTACCTCCACAGTAGAACAATTGTCGCTTTCAAATCCTATGATGCTTGAAAAAGGAATTTTTTTCTCATTCAGAGTCGTTTTAACAGCTTTGTATAAACCACTGGCTCTTCCATCTTCAACAACAATCGAGTCAAGCAAACCATCACATATATCATTTTTTCAACATAAAAAATTTAAATATCTAACTACAACAGCTAATACCCGTGAAATGGATATGTCTGTGCTCTCATCGCTTATCAGACATTCAGCTAGACTGAACTTTTCATTTCTACACTGATCAACCACTTCCCATTTTTCATAAGCAATTCCTTCCTGAATAACATATGAAGCTTTTGTTGCGTGAAGTTTTACATTTTTAGCAATACTGCTATCATGAAATGATCTCTTGCACACTTCCACTAGATGATCTGCATGCGCAAATGGCACATTGTGTTCAGCAATAGAAGCAGATACTGTACAAGTAGTTCTGCCTTTGCAACTTCCTCATCAGTGTCATCACTCTCATTAGGAATCTGTTTCTTAATAAATGAATCAATTTTAGTGGCTGCTTTAGCTTCTTTCATGTTGTTGAGGTGCTTCGCAGTCTTACATGTGCCATCAATATATGGATCTATTAGCATTTCTGAGTTGAGTTTTACAACATGCGCAATATGAAACACCTTTTTCTTTTGAATTTTCTTGCAGCCACTCCTTAAAGTCTTTTCATAAAGTCTTTTTTTCACTCTTGTTTAAAAGACTGTTTGTACCACTTTTTAACTATTTTTCTTGGGGGACTCGGCATTTTCGGGGCTTTCACTGTTCACTATATGTTAATTTAACAGCACCGATAGGTACAACAGCGACAGTAAGCAATGTAATTACGCACGTCACGACTATAACTTGTCACTTGACGAGCACAGTACTTTACAGTGTGCGCTGAGAAGTTGGGAACCTTTGCTTTGACCGGTAACGAACGCGTTCAATACTGGTAACGAAAGCGTTCAATGCCGCTGCCGTCTGTCAGCTAGGTAAAACATACAGTCTGACGGTTAGTGCGTCGCTACATTTGTTTTGTATTGACTGCAAAGTTAAATTTAAGGCATTGGGAATATTTCAAGCACATTATTAGCTTAAATTAACTCACACAACGAAAAAACACAGATTTTGCCATTTGGAAGAAAAAACACCCAGAACCCAGGTGACGGTCAAAAAACCCAGCGCTGGGAGGCCGGCTTTCAGCGACTACAAATGTGCAATTCTGAGATGCAATGAGATTGAAATCATTTGTAACAACTAAAAAGTTGGATATTTTTGTTATACCTTATTGTGCGTTTGAAATTTTTTTCTACCACGGTTCTTGTAATTTTTCGACAGTTGTGTTGGACCGGGTTCCTTTGTCTTTAAGGTCGGCGAACTTCTATTAATATATCTACCAAGCTCTTATTCTGGAACTTAGTCTCGTTCCTAATTTGTTTGGGCGCCGGCCGTCCGGCCGTCCTTGGGATCAAGTCCAAAATAAATAAATATTTGAATATGTTTCTTGTTTGTGTATCACGTCCAACAATTCAATATTGTAAGGTAATTGATAGAGATGAGTTCACTTGAACGTCACATCAGGAGTGCTCACATCAACATGCCGTATAATGGTTATAACGACGAAATTAAGGGGGAGGTCTACCCTCCGGAAAAGCTTTTTTGTTAAAAATTTAAAAGCAAAGAAAATAGCCAGAAAAGTCACCATTTTTTAAAAAGGAAAACGTTTCGAAGACCAGCTCTATCATCAGTTCAAAACCAAAAACACAGGTACAAACAATTAGCAATAAATTCACATTGATGCATAAATCGTCAAATGAGAAACAATCAAGAATGAAGCAAACACGGGCACAAATCTATCTATTTACAATTGCGAGGGGATATGATCTATTAGCGGCATTTAAAATAGGCTTTTGTTTAAAAATATAAAGGGACTCTAGAATTCGCAAGTCGGAAACACCGGTCGTGGAGGCTAAAATTCGAAAATCACTATCGGACACTGGCACGTTGCACTGCTCGGCATGGACGCGTACTGCTGAATGAGGGGGATGCGCAAGGAGGTTTCATGTTCTAAAACTCCTTCCTTTATGCTCCGCCAGCCTAGCATAAAAGTTGCGAGATGTCATACCGACATACGCAGATGCGCATAGCGCACAACTAAATTGATAAACTAGGGACGATCGCATAGGAACAGGAAGTGTGTCTTTATACATGAAAAGAGAACTGATTTTAAAATTATTCACCAGCAATACATGAAGATTTACATTTGGGAGGTATTTAGAGAACAAATCTTTCAACTCTTTAGCCATAGACTAGAAGCGGGACCAAAGTAAGGAAATGAACAATAAACAGCATTCCTATGGTCACGTTCGGGAACAACCTCAGAATATTGCTTAGTCAAAAATTTCTTAATTTGAGTATATACCAATTGCGACGGAAACCCATTAAGTGAAAACGTACTGCGTAAAAATTCAAATTCAGAGTGCATAGTATGGAAAGTTGAGCAGATACGAAAGCCTCAGTTTATTAACGTTCGAATACCATTTAACTTGAAACGGAATGAACAAAAGCTGAAGAAGCTGGTGCATGGAAAAGCTGGAAAAGAAGAAGCTGGAAAACACGTACGTGTAGCGATTAATTTAGCTCGTACTTCGAGCTAACTCTAAACTTGCGCATCGTCATGTTACATGTGTATCGTGTTTTTACATCAGCATCGTGATGCAAAAAGTTGATCATGATAATTCACGCGTACCACAAAACCGCATATTACGCTGTAAAGCGTGACTCATGGTGCAATACGAATTTCATGTTGTTGAGTACCTTCATACAATGCATTCAAGTCATGAGTTTTGCATTTCTTGAATCTTCTATGAGATTTAGGCCTGTGAGTTTGATCACTGAAATCAAATTGTTATCTGCATTTGATATGAGATAACAAGTCTTGTCCCTCTATGAGGAGGATATTTCAAATTATGAAGTATTGTATATGTATGTGTATATATTACACATTGCCCATTTATGAAGTTTAGCACTCAAGTCGGTGTTACGTTTCAGCACGGTATACTTAAATTTTTTCCTTATCTTATCAGATTCCGATTGGCAAGATGAAAAAATGCAAAAAATTCTGATGAGCTTGAACATTCTGATATTTTTTAGGACACAGGGGGTGACGACTCCCTTTTTGAATGTTTACATTTTATGATCATAATATACCACTGGACATCATGAGGATGATGTCCACGAACGAACATTTCGTTTCTGTGTGTGTACTGTTTTAATTTCACTAACAATCGTCATGCATAAACATGAAAAAATTAGGGTGATATATAACTAGACCCACAAGTTAGTCTAGATAACAGCAACTTGACGTAAAGATAGAGCAGCCTTTACCTTCAGTGTTGCAGGAAAACCCTTTGTAGACGGTGGCAGGTGTGCTTATCTGCTGCGGCGCGGTCTCTAAATTTGTCATTAATTTTGCTAAACATTCCTGGAGTTAAGAAACTCTATATTCATTAGATTCATTATCAGCGGCGTAATCATGTCCGGCCATCCTGTGGCTATCGTTGTTCAGAACAAAGAGACTCGAGAGTTCGAGCTGGATGAGGAAGCCCTACGGGGTGTCCTGTTGCGTCCTGAAGTGGGCGACAAACCCGTCTGCGTGGTGGCCGTGGCGGGGGCGTTCAGGACCGGCAAGAGCTTCCTTCTGAACTTCTTAGTGAAATACTGCGTCAATGAAGTGAGAATTAAATAGTTAATTTAGTCATGAAACTTGGGGGGGGGGCCTTAAAAGAACTTGTGTGATGAAACATTCATGCAGATACACCCTTTCAATAACGAAATTCATCTTATTATTGGGCAATATGTAGGACAGACGTTGAAGCTAAAGTTTTAGTTTTGTGAAACCTCGTGTCAACGAATTGCAGATCGCAAAAGATTCTCCAACAAATTTCTTTTAAATTAAGTTTCATTCAGCTTGACTTACTCCGATTCTACGTTGCTCAGGGCACACCGAACTGGCTGGGTGATCCGTCGCAGCCGCTGGAAGGTTTCGTCTGGAGCACAGGCATGGAGGGGCAGACCGCCGGCATTTACATTTGGAGCGAACCTTTTACTATCTACGCTAAATATAGCGGTAAAGAAGTGAGTTCAATCTTAAAGGATTTAATATGTAATCTTTGCAAATTACCGATGAAAACCGATTCTATCAGTTCTAAAAAACTTCTAAAACGTTTTCCTGTGTTATCTAAGAAACAACCACATTTTGTCTGAAGTATTTTTTGCAAGAATTAATAGCGGACTTAATATCAACGGGCAATTAGCAGCTATTCGGAAGCTGAACACGGTATGCTTTCTCTAATGTGAAATGTTTTCGCGCGCTATATGATCATTGAGCAGTACGTGAGTGTGTTTTAATAAATACTCTTAGTATCTCCTTGTGCAATTGACTCATTGTAAAAATGCTCTCATTAATTAAATTTTCTTTGCTAGTAAGTACTCTAAGAAGAGAAGGTGAAGAGATAACTAATTCTCTGTGAGTGCAGGTGGCAGTTATTCTCATGGATACTCAGGGCACGTTTGACACCCAAACCTCGTTGCGGGTAAGTTCAGAGGGCTCATATCTACTATATCAGCGACAACAGGATTGATTTTTTGTCTTCCTTGTATATAACTATCTTCTTTCGTTAGTTCGAACTATTTCTAAGAATTATCTAAGAAGGTTTATTTTGGAGAAGCAACTGTGAATTTTGATAAACTCTATTTCCCATGGTGATGAAAAAATGCTACGGACATGAACTTCTTGTCCTTGAGAGGGTTAATTTTTAGTCCGCAACTAATGGTCTTTGAGCTCACGAGTAAATGGATTGGCACCCTAAAATGAAGAACAATAGAGATCATTTTGATGTGCTCCCTTTTCAATTCGTTATTAAAGACTGCTCTCACATTTATTGATACATTCTGATTTAAAGGCGACCATTAAATGTAATTCTAAGTAATTCAAATATACAATAAAGCAAAATTTAGTTCTATAGCGTCGTCCTTCTTTGCCTCCGTTGATCGGGCAAGCGACGCGGTCAGCTGGAATTGGTCTGTTCCACACTCACGGTCCACCCAGAAATCGATTTAAAAAGCCTCTTTATCAGTTAGGTTGAGGGCACATTTCATTCGGAAGCAAATGTTTTAATTAAACGCTTTACAATCGTTACTGAGTCTCTTTAAACAAGCCTTTCTTCGACAAGCTCATTCCAACAAAAGCTTTTAATTTTGCGCCAGGGAAATGTGTCATCCAGGTGCCAGAGGCCAAATCATATCAAACGTCGATTTTTACACAACACATAACAGATTTTTATTAAATAGAACCCTTTATTATTTTCCTAAAGAGTTTCTTGCAAAGTACATCTGACCATTTTCTCACTTATGGCAAGTTCTTTCTTCTATAGTCTACTACACTTACGTACAACACGAGAGTTGATTTCAAGATTTTTGGGAAAAGAAACATCATGTTGCTTCATCGGACTAATGCGGAAGCACAGTTAAAGTTCGTTTACACTGTCTTTTATTATTGTAATGGCTATGGTCTCATCTAAAATTTATATTTCTTCAGGATTCGACGTACATCTTCGCCCTGACGCTGTTGACCTCCTCCGTGACGGTGTACAACCTCATGAACAACATCCGCGAGGACGACCTCACGAACCTGCAGACGTTCAGCACCTACGGCGCATCGGCGCAGAAGGAGATCAAAGAGTCGCGCGCATTCCAGGTACAGATATGCACATTTCAAGTATTACAATAATAATTAGAAACAATAGAAGCGTAAAATTTTCAAGAAGTATTGCATGCATGACCCGCCATTCGAAGTGATCTGATGGCAAGTAATCATGTGGTTAGATAGGTATGGACAACCCTCGTGCCTTCGACCTTCCCCGGGCCCTGTTGATGTCGTCGACGAAAATGCAGGACTTAGACCAACAGAATATATAATTTACTACCAATAGTACACGGCGTCTGCTAGGATCCTTACTGTTAACGAGCCAATATTTCTGAGCAGAAATACCATGAACGATTCCAAGCAAATATTATTAGTTTCTGACTCCATTATTATTTATTTTACTGATGAATGCTCTCTTTCACCACTAATTTCTCGCTGACTCATTGGGTAAATTCTGACTCATTCATTGAAGTTTGCTTCCGAAGTCGGATGGCACATTACAAATTTATATAGTATGGATTATTTTGAAGAAATATAATCATTGAACAATTTGATCTTCCCGTTTCAAATTATTAATTATTATAAATCGCGTCTTTTGAAGTCATTAGAAACCTTCTACTGGAGGTAGTTAGAACGAGTTGGCAAATTTTACGTACAGACATTGTTTAAAAATTTTTGAACATTTCAGAACCTATTATTCCTGGTGCGTGACTGGAGTTTTCCTCAGCAGCATCCATGTGGCCACGAAGGCGGTCAAGTGGTACTGAAGAAAGTGCTAGGCCAACTAGGGGTGAGTTGTTCGGAATATAGGTTGCAATTACAGATATTCACGATGAACAAATATATGAATAATGGATTTCCATATTTAGATGCGAATAATTAATGGTATGTAAAAATTCAGCCCTATGTCTACAAAAGGTAAACCGCGTTACCAGGGTTTTTGATGTGATTGACATTGACGTCGGTTACCTTATCCTATCCGTAGACAAAAGCTTGAAGAAGTCAGCAGAGGTTGGCAGTAGCGCGCTACATGTAGCGGCCGCTACATTTTCAGTAGCGGTAGCGGCGCTACATTTAAGCAATTGTAGCGGTAGCAGTAGCGCCCGCTACATATTTAAGTTGCGATACGAGGTTTTGCCGCTACAGCGCTACCGCTACATTTATAGATAAAGCCTTTAGATTTTACTCAATAGTATTAAATATTATTTAAATACCAGCATGATACATACATAATATAAATTACAGAATAAAACTGTATGAAAGATTTCGGTGTAATGTTGTCAACCTCAGCCTGTTACTAGTGTCAACATGTTAGTTGTTACCAGAGGTGGGCAGTAGCGCGCTACATGTTGCGGTATAGCGGCGCTACAATCTAGTGGGTGTAGCGGTAGCGGTAGCGGCCGCTACATTTCAAAGTAGCGCTGCCCAGCTCTGGAAGTCAGTTTAAGCTGTTGAAATATTTTCGTTATTGGCAGGATGAGTGAGCATTAGTCAAGATATAAGCGTGAAGATTCAGTATGTTAAGAGCGATTTTAAGACATCTTCTATTATATGTATAAGGAAAATCATCTGTTTCTCCGATATCGAACAAGTTTAACTTTTGGCATAGCCACCCTGTTAAAATATTCATATAAGGCTGATGAAGTGTGCTGCCTCCAATATGGGTCTTCAGATCAGGTGCAGCACTTGTACATTCGTGATAAAATATAGGCATTGGCGTATCTTTTCCTCTAACATTTAAAGCATTAGAATCCTCGGTTATCTCGATAATAATTTTTGACTTTGAGTTTTCAATTCTTATTTTGATGGTGTTCTCCCTAATATGCCCTGAAAGAAAATATAATATAGCAGACTGCTGTTTATGGTTGATGTTCTTCAAATTTCCCGCAAAGGAAAAGGCGGAGAAGCCGATGCATGAGTCGGCCCACCAGAGGTTGAGACAAGGCCTCCGTCAGAGTTTTGAGAAGCTGGAGTGCTACCTCATGCCGCACATCGGCTACGGCCCGGCCGAAGACTCCAATTTCGATGGTCGACCAAATCGTGAGTTCCATGACCTAATTTTACTATTAGATATCATGGATCTGTTAATTGGATACTGTGTAACATTCGAGAAGCTTGAGTTGCAGTCATGAGAGTTGCCCACTTCAAGTGCTTCTACATATAATATGTCTCATGTAGAGAACTGAAATTGAATGTGAGTTCTATGTGAAATGTTGGTGCAGTTGTATGTACTTCTTGCAGTTAAAATCAATTATTTTAAAATTATCAAATAAATTACATAAAGTTAAGATCAATTGTATATTAATAATATGTGGCAACCGCTGCCAAAATTTGACATTTAAAAAATTGTAACACGCTACCACCCATGTGACCGTTAAAGCTGACATCTCACTTACGTGATATGCAAGAAGTTCATAAATGATTTTTTAAAGAGTTTATGAACAGAACTGAGCCCAAAATTCGTGGAGCACATCAGGCTGCTGGTGCCTCGCCTGCTGGCGCCTGAGCGCCTCGTGTTGAAGCGTTCAGCGGCGCGGCGGGGACAGCCCGCCACCGGGGAAGAGCTGGTGGACTTCATCAAGACCTACATGGCGGTCTTCAGGGAGGGAAAGCTGGTGGAACCCACCACTCTGGCTGAGGTTTTGAGATAGGAAAAGTTATAAAAAGATTGCTAATGTACATTCATGCACTTCAATCTGAAATATCTTGAGATGAAAACGATTTTACCATCTCTCTGTTTCATTTGTTATTATTTGTCGTCAGCGATCATTGCAAATTATCTCTTCTTATTATGTTCCTGATTTTTATTCGTTATATTCAGCGATGTTTCACCTATATCTAGGCCCAAGCAGCAAAACACTGCACTTGACCTAATTGTAAAATTAACGTATTAAAAATCCGTTTCGTTGATTTTTTGCATAAAATTTCCAGATGATGGCACGTGTATGCAGTAATGGAGCTCGTAATATTGCTCTTGAAGTCTACAACAATGCCATGAATTCTATTCTTTTTCCCGATGGAAAATCAATGGAGGCCTCCGTTCTCATGAGCCAACACTTGGCATACAAGCGTGACGCCGTCGCAGCCTACCTCAAAGAAAACCAATACGCAGACAGCAGTGAACTGTTTCCGGTTGTTCATGACGTTAAAGAGCAACTTGAAAAGGTGAGTAAATGCATGAGAGAGGTCACTCCTTGCGTGACCGAGTTCCTCTTATATCTAAAAGTTGTAATTTATAAACTTTTTGACCCATCAATCCCGACTATTTCACAATTCCAATCAATAAAAATTTCGAACAACATATTTCATCAGTGTATTCCACAGTTTTTGTTTGCAACTGATCTTAGTGCGTGTTTGCTAAAATTTCATCTTAGTGCGTGTTGGCACCGTTTCTGAATTGCATGAAGACAAAGAATAAACTTTAAAATACTTAAACCATTTCATGAGCTGGCGGAACGCAGTACTGGAACTCACTTAATTGCATCTAGTTCAATCAATTGGCAAGCCAATCAATATCATTGAAACTTGCCATAGAAATTTACTAGTAAAAATCCCACTCGAAGCTTCTTCATATTTGAACACATGCCTGCATGTGAAGTTGATGTGAATTACATTGCCTACAATATTCACCTCGTATATTTTGCATCGAAGTTCTAATTTATCGAGGAATCAATGATAATTTTACCGTAATCAAGCAAACTTGACTCGGCTTAACATAATAAAACAGTATGAAACGACCACACACCACCAATGATGGTGCATTGCTGACAGAATTTTTTCATCTCGAACAAACATATCCCACGATTTGATGTAACTCATCGATTGCACGTACGAGCTGAGGTGAAAATTTTTTTCTTCGTATATCAAGGCTTATCAAAATTTTGCACACTAGACGAAATGTTTTTTTCGAAATTCCGCTTACTGTCTGCATGCAAAGTTATTTAGATTTATTTGACATTGAATCATGTCCAAAATCTTCAACCAAAATGCAAAAACTTCTAGGATCAGCGTAGCATCGTGTACAAATAATATATAACAATGTTGTTTGACCTTATTCCTGTCTGTAAGACCATCATTAATTTCCCGAGAGTTTTTTGGGTGGATTTGGCAGAAGGTCAAGCCGAGTATTTAAGATCAGCCATGTAAATGATTTAGATCTGATCACATAAAACGAATCCATTTCATCGTTAATCAATAGAGCCAGTTGATATTTTCAAAATCAGTCATGATATCATCTGACTAAAATTAAGGAATGAATCTGTTCATTCGTTAATTTTAATGTGCCACTTTGGATATCAATAGTTCAGGATAACCGTATATTTTTGCAATCGACGATCAGGAAAATACATGACGTGGAAATAAAATGTCATGTCTTTGCATGAGCGTATAAATAAAAACAATATTCAATTATGATTTTTGCGATGACATTGTCATGTGAATCAGAGAAAGCAACGATGCAGCCTAATTCCTGACATTTCTATTAAATGAATTTTTAACACTCCTCTTGGTCAGTGTACACTAACGGGTATTTCTGAGAAAATTCTCGGTTCATAGAAAATTATAATTCATTAAGATTTATATTACAATCGATTATATCATAAATCACACCAGTTATTTAGCCGAGGGCAGATGACAACGATATCCCCTGACCTAATGCTATCATATATTTCAGGAAATCGAGAATCACTTCCTTCACTACACCGAGGTTAATGATCACAACAAAACTAAGGAACAGATGAAGAAGCTTGAAGAAGATGTTGAAGCGGCTGTTACAATTGGAACGCTGGGTGCGGCCCTCGCTGGTATATATTTTTTCCGCCGTCCTTAGTGGCTAAACAAAAAAAATAATACCGGCTCTGGATTATGGTGGTGTCATTGATATTGAAGAATTATAATAGGCACTTCTATACCTGTATAAAAAAGAAATTTTGTATCCGTACAAAATTTAATTATGAACTGTTTAAGGAGAGTATGACCAACAATAATCTATCCTATAATATTATTGTTGGAAAACGCTTCTGTAATTGAAGTTAGAAACGTATAATCCTGTCCGTTGATATTTTCGAATTATTGTGTTCAATTTTTCAGTGATGAAATTCGTCTTGCAATGGAATGTTCTTATTTTCTTAACTCAATTTTGATGTAAGCAAGAATTGAATATCATTCTCCATATATCCAGACTTATATGAACGTTTGTGCATCACAAATGCCTGCCCTGACAGAATGACCATTTGAAGTGAATTTTACAATCGAGCGAACTGAGTGTTTTTGACAGTATTATGCCATTTGCATACGCTAAGATTTACCAATTAATTATTACAGTAGTGACCCTTTTTGAACTTCACCTTTGAAAATTTATTGTTTTCATAAGACCATTGAATTTCCGGAGCAACTGAGAATATTAGAATTTGCAGTTCATTTAAAACAATAATTGACTGCAGCATTCGTGCTCATACCTTCTTATTTGCATCCTTCCGATTTCGTTACAATTCTTTTTTAAAACCCAACGCAGATCGTGAATTGATAGGTAATAAAATTCTAGCTTTATTTTCAGCTTGAAGTCGAAGAATTTAACAAATTTATGCGATAACGACTATAATTATATTTGTGCTTTCCCAAGTCTGTCCTTACCGCTAATGCCATTATACAATTATATATGGCAAGATATTTTGTGGAATTTCTTGATCAATTGTCATGCACGGAACCAATAATTTTGTTTGTTTTGTCTGCTGAGCGATAAAGATCTTAGACCTCCTCTAATAACTATAGTCCAAATCGAGCATTTTTGCTATGAATTAAATTCCGTTAAGTCACCTACTACAACCGTTACAAAAAGTCACGACGGGCAAATCTGCGATGAAAACGTAATATTGCTGGAATGCGAATCGTTTTCTTGATTTGAATGCTTGTGTTAATACCGTCTTGTTACCAAATGACATGTCAATAAATAATTATTGCGCAGTGCGCCATTAATAGGACTTATTTACCTCTGATTTCTTATCACTATCATGTACACAAAAATAAATATTTTTCAGAGTTTATGTCTGTTGTAAGCCTGGCACCAAAAATATATGGGGGGCTATATATGGCGGCGCGTATCCAGGATACTTCCGGCACCACAAAAATATTGGGGCTGTTGGGGCGCGTATCTAGGATACTTTTGGCACCAAAAATATATAGCGGCTGTTAGGACGCGTATCCAGGATATACTGTGGAACCGCAAAATATAGGGGGTGGATTGGCGCGTAACCAGAATACTTTTGGACACTCAAATATATTTAGGTTGAATGGGAGGGTGTCCACTATACCTATGGCATAAAAATTGTATAATAGTTGCGGGGGAGCGTATCCACGATACTTATGGCACAGCAATACATAGGGACTGTTAGAGCGAGGTGAGTATACAGGAAACTTATTGTGTCGAGATATTGCCCGAACCTGAAATTTAACCATCAGTGAGAGAATTACATTATCATCACACAGCGAGGCAGTTTGGATCCGAAACAAAATGGATTTAAAAATGAGGTATATCTATTTCATTAGGAAAGGGACATAATCGGTACTTTTTCATTCTGAATTTCTATTAACATAGTTCGAGAAATAGACTAACCAAAATTTTCCGCTTCATCCAAAGATTCACTATCATTGACACTATCAGTATCTGTATCACTCAATGAAATTGTCATCAACGTTAGAAAGTTACCAGCATCGTGGCCACATCGTACTTGATTTTCTACCATCTGGCAATACACAGCAAAGGTCACAGCATCGATCTGAACATGCATTTTTAAAGTTTGGAAATCTATGATCTATGAGAAATCTTTTTCATTATTCAATAAAAAAATTGTTCGTACCACAGAAAAAATGGGATATCTGAACTTTAACACAACAAACAGAACACCATACGGGAATACTTAATTACAAATCGTCAATCTAAAATTAGCATATCCTAAAATTTCGGTCGTATCACCGCTTAGACCAGTTAGCAACTTTCCACTAAAATTCATAATTTTCAAATTTGGATTCCGCTGCTTCAGCAATCGTAGTGTATTATCAAACAAACTTTAGCACCTGTATCATCGAGAGCACAGAACTGAACACCATCAGCTTCTACTGTACAGCTGGGGTCCGAAGTCCGAACATTTTGATTAGTATTACTCTTTTGACGAACTAGTTTCCTGTCATCTTTCTCTATCAGATCACACTTATATTATTTCACAGCATTTGGATGACAAAAATTTACATTATTAAAATTATTTTCATCTCGGCTACGGCTCTGTTTCCTGTCAAACAGGGGGTTAAAATGAATACCTGACTTGCATTGTAGGTGCAAAATGACAGGATCTGAATCAACATGTTCTCTATAAGTGATTGGTCGTTGAGTTCCATAATGTGCCTGAATTTCTACTCGGTACATCTTGCAAGCGATTAACATTAATTCAAGGCGAGGTAACTGACCAGCTTGTCCTTAATCCACATCTGATGTTTAAACTCTTGATCGAGCTTTAAATTAAATTCCTCTGCATTGTCGGCCAAATAATCTACCAGTTTCACTCTAAGGCTAAGAGGACTGTCTGGGTTTAGGCATCTCAATAACTCAGACAAAGGAAAATTGCCTCAAATATAAAATCAACTCCGCTTTCTACCTGGATAATAAACTTCAATCCATCTGGCAAGTCATAATTACCAATTTCGCCTAGCTCGATCCTAATCATCATTATTAACTATCCTATAGGCATTCTATCCGCCGCTTGGTTTTCCAGGTCGATACTTTATTTCAAATCTTGCTCTGCCAATTCATTCATTGTTCTCATCACCCCTAAAGTTCTCTCTAGACATGTTTTGCATAAATAAAAGCAGTTCGTGGTCGGTGTACAATGCAAATGGAACTGCAAATATAAATGATCTAAATACTTTAATTCCCCACGTAGTTGCTGAAAATTCCCGTTCATCAGTGGAATATCTTCTTAGAGCAGCATCCAAAAGTCATTGATGAATAAACAATAGTTCTGTACGTGCTGTTCTGTGTCTGCATTAAGACAGGCAAATGCTTCCACACCTGCGGCATAACAAAAAGTTCCATCTTCTCAGCCGTGCCGGAATAACCTGGGAAGCCCAATGCTGCATCCTTCAAAGGTGCATTCTTCAACGATTCATACAAGCTAGCTTATTCATCTCTGGGGTACAATCAAATACCTTCTTTATGGTGCCGTTAGTCAACTCTGTCAAGGGCTTGGCTACAGAGCAGTTCTCAACAAATTTTCTTAGGAAATTAACTAAACCGAGAAGTGGCCTCAATTCCGTAACAGTCTTAGGTTTGGGATACTTTAAGATCTTGTCCATGTATTCAGGCGACTTCCTGAAACTCTCTCTACCTATTACATGACCCAAAAAACTGGTTCGTGAAAAATTTACATTTAGTTCGTGGGCTTTGAAGAACGTTCTCTCGCAGGTTGTGAAAACTAACGCTACGGACGTCCATGGAAGACGTATCCTTGCCTGTATCGAGGACAGTGACGCAGCTGAAGATCGAGTGACCCACAGATGAAATACATACCCATCATTTTTCGGCAGACCCTGGCGTAATGTCCGATGCGGCCACTGTAGCGGCATTCATCATCACCTCTTGACGGGTTGGAGCCCGGCAACACATGAGCTACTTTCGTCAGCCACACTGGTAATTTGGGGGTCGCCACACTTGGGCTGTGGCTCAAGAACAAAATTAAGATAAGGATGCAAGGGGAGCATTGCGGGTACCAAGTTCTCTGGGCCAGGCTTTAACTTGTTGAGTTGTAAGGAAATGTTCTACATTTCATATTAGTACGAGTTTACCGCAATAATCTCTGGCGGAACCTTGCACGCATTCAACGATGCTCAAATTTGAAAAGAATGTCAACGCCAAGAATGCCCTCCGGTTTCACTTCATCTCCGGGCGAAAAAGATTAGAATCGGCAAAGTCTCTGATCTTCGCTACATTCCTCATAGCCTGTTGCAATCCATTGACGACATATTCCATCGACAATTTATCATCAACAAGAAGCGGCAGCTGAAGGCTTACCAACCCATCCACGAGATTTAAATAAGGAATGGTTTCGGCAAATCCGCTTAAGGCACTATCAATGAAGGTGTTCACAGTATAAGAATTGACATTCAAATGGCCTGCGAAGTCTGGTCTTTTCAATACATTATTAGAAATGTAGCTCCGTTGGCTACCAGAGTCCAAAAGACCTCGACGCTTTGTTGTACGAACACCGTTAGGAGCAGCAATGGTAAGAGTAGGCAAAATGAAGTTCGAAGACGAGTTAGACGAGGATGCAATACAACAATGGTTTTGTTTGCCAGGTACTTACAATTTTGGACAAAGAGCAGAAATACGAGATTTACTTTTACAAGTCTTGCAAGGAAATTCTAGTTTGGCATTGCAATTATCTGTTGAATGCTTAGTACTAGCGTACTTCTGATACAGGTTAATTTCTTTACATCTTTGCGCTCTAGCATCAAAAGAGGAATAACGAGAACATTGAATCATGCTATGAGCTGTACTAGAACAAAATTTGCAGCCTTTTCCGAGACGAAAATTTGTGCCAAAATTCTGGAAAACAGTTTTGGGTTCAAGCTCGGCAACGGGTTTCGTGCGAACCACTGCCCGTCTCTCGATCGCGAAGCAAGTCTGAAGGACTGTTCTTCATATTCAACGTACGAATGACGCCAACATAGCAATAAAAAATATGCTTATTTCGGAAAGTTGTTACTTAATTTTAGCACAAGTTCATGTTTAAATGAGATAGGTAATTTTGAAAAGACAAGGTGACTCACAAATTCGTTACTAGAATCGTCACTCAAGAAATCGCGCACATTCTGCTTAAGATCGGCAGCAACTTAGTTTTCGGATCATGTTCATAGGAACACTGATGTTCAATTTCATCGTTGAGGATGCTGACATCCTTCTGCTCTATAAGGTAAGCATTGATTTTCTCATCAAGCTTGTAACTCACCCACCGTCTCTCCACACGTGCGCACCCTACG